GTCTCAATACAGAAATGATTAGCTGTCAGTTGTATTAAAGCCAAGTAAGATGAGAACTGAGGGTTGAACACTAGCTCAAAGTCTTAGTTCGGAGAGAACGGGAATAGACTTACAACCACACATGTGCACAACTCAGGTACTTATGAAGAAGAAAGTTGGGAAGGGAGGAGAGCACAGCAGAGGATGAGGTAGATTTGAGAGAGACTGGGGCGCTATACTTTAAGATGGGAGAAATTAACTGGGTGTGGAAGGTACAGTCCGGGAGAATCATTTGTTCTTGGCCAGCCTGAGCTATATAGTGAGTTTGAAGGCAGCCTTGGCTACAGAATGAGATCCTGTCTGAGAGAGCAAGAGAAGAGATATAAAACATGTCATATGCCAGTTAGAATATCCCTGAAAACAAAGAGGGAATAAATATACTAATGATAAAGGGAGGAAAAAAGGGCTTAGAACACTCTCTGAGATGGATATCAACAAGTGCACAAGGCAGTGTGAATCTTAGCCAGAGAAGGGTTGGTCATTCAGGAAGAAGATGAATTATTGGGCATAAGAAGGCGTGGAGGCTTAAAGGTAGCTTGTGGAAGGTCTGTGTGATTGCTTTTATTTTCTCACTGAGAATAAGGAAAGGAATGGAGATACTGAACTTGGTAAAATAAGTGGATTTGAAAAATAACTGACTTTGTTGCTCAGCATTTGGAGGTCTAGTTAAGGTTAATGATAATGAATTTCAGATGATATTGATCAGCCTGCATGTGTATTTTTGTGCAGCCTACAGCTGTATAAGTTCATGTGAAGAGTGGTGGTGGATTGAATTTAGCTTGTGTTTGTAACTAGCTTTCCTTCATGTGTGCCCATAAACAGTGCACACTGTTATCTCATGTTTTTAAGATGTGTGTGAGTGGTGTATTCTGAGTTGAATTTGTATGTGGGTACATGTTGGGGGAGGTGCAGGTGTGCACATGTGCATACAGGTACATGTTTATGTGTATGCATGTGTGTATAGAGGCCAGATGTTGATGTCAAGTGTCTTTCTCTAGTACTCTACCTTTTTTTTGGCACAGAACCTGTCACTGACCCTGGAACTCTTCAATTCTTCTAGGCTGGCTGGCCATGAGCTCCAGGGATCAGCCTGAAACATAGGAACATTATTAATCTTGTATATAACATTGCACAATTCCATACATTATAGATTCACTGAAGTATTTTATGTAGATATCCATATTAGAAGAATAAGTTGGAGCTGAAAAGAAAGCTCAGATGGTAAAATATATACTGTGCTAACATGAGGACCTGAGTTCAGTCCCCAGCATTTACATAAGCTGAGCGTGCTGGCATTATACTGTAATCCCAGTGCTGGGGAGGCAGAGATAAGAGGATTTCTGGAGCTCACCAACCATCCAGGCTACCCTAATAGGTGAGCTCTGGGTCCCCTTGAGACACTCTGCATCTCATTGGCCTTTGACCTTCCTCAAAGTTTTCTGGTATTTTTCCCAATTTTGCATATTTGGAAATAAAAGCCTTCATTTACTAAATGTTAGTTCATGTTACCCTACTAGGACTGTTTCCATTTCTAAATAACTAGTAACTGAAATATGCATGCACTAAGAACAATAACAGAAAGAAACATTAAACAGATTCATTTGTGAGTGGGTTGATACATGACAGAGGTGTTTCAGGCATGAGAAATCTGTCTCAGGTGTTTACCCAGTACCCTCTTGAGTAGGCAGAGGTTTGCTGTGATACAGAAGGTCTGTTGGGCGGATTATACCTCTGCTACTGCTGCTGTAATTCAACCAGTGACATGTGTTACTTGCCATGCTAGCTTGAAATCAAATCCCCCTTTTGTTTGTTTGTTCAAGACTGAAAGAGCCTATTCTTTTTGTGGAACTATTGAATACATGGCACCAGATATTGTCAGAGGGGGTGATTCAGGACATGACAAGGTATGTTCTACTTTTGATACTATTTTGTGTGTTTCTGTAAATTGTACAGTAAGAGTGAATCCCAGTTAATAAGTTCCAGTACAGTCTTTAAACACTCTGATACTTATTACCTTCATTCGTTCTCTGCTTTGTGTACTGGAACACACTATGAGTTGGTTTTCCTTTTAAGGTCTCATTGATGAAGATCTTCTGCTTTGTAGAGTGACATGCTTGTTAAAGCTGAGACCTTGAAGTTATTCTTCAAATAATTGTACATTTCATTTTCATTGGAAAAGCCTGTGAGCTTAAACAAAGTTTCAACCATGACTCCATTAAAAAAAAAAAAGGCTTATTCTTTTTGTGTTGTATGAGACACATTTAAACCAAGTGTAACACAGGAGTGTGACTGAATACCTAAGCTGTGTAGGTGGCTCCTCTCTGCATCGTGGAGAAAGATTTTGGCAGAGCTTTATTAGCATAGTTAAGTTCTCAGGAAACAGACAGAAATGGATGGTGGTTGTGTTTGCCACCTTTGGTTAATAAGTCTTTCTACTGAGATGGTGAGAGACAATTGAAAAAGAAAACCACTCATATTTTATTCCCAGTTTCTGCTTTCAACTTTACAAAGATATTGATAACTTTGTTGATTATTCTCCAACAGAAATAGCACATAACCTTAAAAGGAAAATTCTACAGTCAAAATATAGTATGTTTTCCTAACCCTCTAAAGAACTTGATTTTTTTCCTTTTTTTTTTTTTTGCTTTTTTTTAATTTTTCCCTTCTTCTCTTCCCTCTACATGAAAGTGCCAATGAAGATAATAAAGAAGCTGTCAGTTCTAAGTCATTATAAAGTCTATAGAGGTCATTTTTCTATCCTGTATTAAAGGGTAATACTTTCACTTTCAATTTAACAATAGCATTCTCCAAATGAATTCTGGCTGGCTTGTCCTTATTGTTCTCCTCCCCTTCATCCTCTTTCAAAACACCACACGTGTACGATCCAGTATCTGGGGTGAATGCGTGGTCTCCTTTCTGATGACCTATCTGATTTCTAGCAATCCCATTCCCCAAGTCTGAATGGCAGTGGCTACTGGCCAGTGGCTAGAATCTGATCTCAGGTTGCATTAGCCAAAGAGCATGGTTTCGTGCCCAATACAGAGCATTCTGAGGGCAGACTCAACTGGCTTTGGAACTGCTTATATGAATTCAGGAGTTGAAATGCTTGTTTAGTTTGCTTTATGGTGTAATTTAAAGCTATTGTGCAATTCAGTCAGAATTTGTAACTTAGATTTTGAAAAATAACTACTAAAGCCTTTATTTTCAAATAAGAAAACCTTGTTTATAGAATTTCTGCATGGCTAGGATCCATAATATAACTAGCCAAAAATATTGTCTCTTAAATATTTTTGTTCAAATAATTGTATTTATAAATGGATTTCGAGTTTAGAGTACATTGTATTTTCTATTATTTTAAACATCCCATTGACATAAATATATAAACATATTTTGTAAGAGAAATTTATTTTTAGGGAACTGTTTAAAAAGTAACACCCTTGTGTAAGAATTTTACGTTTTTGCTTTGAGTTTAAGGAATTCTATCTTGTTCTTTGGGCATGAATGCTTTATAAAATGCTGGTTGGCACCTTTTTCCCCCCAGGCCATAAATTCAATATTCCACCTGCCTAAACTTTAAGGAAATAAATTTTAAGTTAAATTGTTTTAAATTAACAGTGGTAAAACTAACTGATTTAAGAAATCATTAAAACACTTTTAGTTCTGAGTATTATATAGGGTTTTTTTCTGCCAAATGTCTCATTAAATTTGTTAATTTAATACTCCTGGGACAGAAAGCTATGAAAAATGTTTTTGGTGAAATATTCTTAAGTATGTAACTTTATTTTGGTCTTCTTGTGACACATTTTATTTGCTGATTCTACAAAATGAAATTATTATTGTTTTATAGGCAGTTGACTGGTGGAGTTTAGGTGTTCTAATGTATGAACTACTAACAGGAGCATCTCCTTTCACTGTTGATGGAGAAAAGAATTCCCAGGCTGAGATATCTAGGTAAGACTTAACAAATGTCATAAGATCAGCTTCTTGTAGCTTCCTGGGTGTTACTCTCTGTTCATTCTTAGTAAGTATCACAGTTGCAATGTTATGTTTTTGTCCTATTTTTCCTTGAATCTTCTAACGTTAAGGACAGATTTGACAAAAATAAATATTGAGTCCACGTCAGTGAAGATGAAATAGCAGGGATCAGTTTGCTTTCTTGCCTGAAACAATTTTAACGATGGACAAAATACATGAAACAGAAGTTTTGAAGATGTGGGAGATCTCGCATGGAGGGCAGTGGTTTCAGAGCTACAGAAAATAAATAAGATATCCCCTGAGATCACCCCCAAATGACTACCTGAAGAGTCCCAGGATGCAACACAGGGAAGGATAACCCATGTAACATTGAAGAAATGGAACTGATAATCTAGGGAAACCTAGACAGCTAGTTTGCTGACTGGAGTGTCTGAGATGAGAGATGGGAACCCAGAGACTTGTAGAATTATTGTTTTTCAAAAATGTACACAATAACACATTTATTATTTTATAGTTACTTATTTGTAGTATAATTATTTTCCTACAAATGGATCTGTGGGTTCAATACAACTACAATTCCAATAGGCTGTTTTTGGGGGGTTTTTTTAGTACATAGAAATTGGCAATCTGATCTAAAACTCAGGTAGAAATGAAGAGGACCTAGACTAGTTAGATTACCTTTGAAGAAGAACAAAGTTGATTTCAAGATTTATCATAAGCTGTAATTATTGCACATTTTGGGTTTGGTGTCAAAACAAACAGATGAATCCTGAATAATTTGCATGCATTCAATCCCAGTACTCAGAAGGTATAAACAAGAGGATTGCTACAAGTTCAAGGCTAGCCTGGTTAACTTCACAAGTGCTAGAGCAGCTCCAGCTACACAGCTAGACCTGGTCTCTAAATGGTGAAAAAAGAAAGGAGAGAGAAAAGAAGGAGGGAGGAAGGGAGGGAAAAGAAAAGAAGATAAGTGAAACAGAATAGAGTCAAGAAATAAAACTATAGAGCAGACCGTGCGGCGGCGGCTCCGTGACAGGTTCGGCCTCGCACGCGCCTCCCATCCAGCGCCGCTAAGATGCCCAAGAGGAAGGTTAGCGCGGACGGAGCGGCGAAGGCGGAGCCCAAGCGCCGCTCCGCGAGGCTGTCGGCCAAGCCCGCCCCTGCCAAGGTGGACGCGAAGCCGAAAAAGGCCGCAGGAAAGGATAAGTCATCGGATAAAAAAGTGCAAGCAAAAGGGAAGCGGGGAGCAAAGGGCAAACAAGCTGAAGTGGCCGACCAGCAAACCACGGATCTGCCCGCAGAGAATGGAGAGACTGAGAACCAGAGTCCAGCCTCTGAAGGAGAAGAGAAAGAAGCCAAGTCCGACTAACCATCCATCATGTCTGTCAGTGTCCCCGCCTCCCTTCTTGTACAATCCAGAGGAATATTTTTATTTACTATTTTGTAAATGCGAGTTTTTTAGTAGCTCTAGTAACATTTTTAAAAGGTGGGGAGAAATCCTGCCTCATCCCATTTTTTAAGTGTAAATGATTTTTTTAAGAGGTTAAATCACTTGCTGGTTGTTTATTTTTTGGTACAACCAGAAAATAGCAGGATACTGAATCAAGAGAGGCTGTGACTGTCTCGGGGGTCACCATAACATTCCGTAGAGGGGGCTAGTTTTATATCCTACAACACAAAGCATATACTAAGTGGTAATTTGGAGTCTCGGTCGTGCGTTTGTGTCTGCAATATTTTCCGTTATATCCAGTGTCGTGTTTCGTAGAACTGTTGGCTAAAAACCCACTCCTTGGTCCTTACCCTGTCAGGACTGTCTGCCTATGGCAGTCCATTTTCCTAAC